AGAGAGAGAGAGAGAGAGAGAGAGAGAGAGAGAGAGAGAGAGAGAGACTTTTGGCTGAATGCAAGGAAAGCAGCAGAAGTCTTTCTTCCTCTCCCCCAAACTCCGCCAGAAATAAGCCTTTGTGAGATTGTTGTGCCGGCGCAGCCTCTTGGAGCAGGATGCCTTGCAGAGTCCCAGAAACTCACCTGGCAGAGTTTGGGGGAGAGAAAGACTTTTGCTACTTTCCTTGTGTGCAGCCAAAAGCAGAAGAAAGAAGTGGAAAGAAGCAGCCTGGTGGCCAGGCAAGGCACGTGGGGCGAGTGGGGCAAGTTCCCCCCCCCCCACCCTTTCTCCCCTCCCCTCACTACCTCGTGTTGTTTGCAATGCAAGCAACGCAAGCCTTTTGTTTCTGCGGGCCATGTGGGTGGCGCAGCCTTTTGTTCCCACACTACCTGGATTAATTGCTTTGGGGAGGTGCTTTGGGGGTGATATTTCTCTGCGGACCACCAAAATTTTCTTGCAGACCACCAGTGGTCCAACCTCAAGCAGGAGACCCTACACCATTTCTGACTGATGGCAGTCCAGTCTCTTCTTGAAAGCCTCCAGCAATGAAGCTCCCACAACCTCTGAAGAGAAATTATTCCATGGGTTGATTGTTCTCACTGTGAGAAAGTTTCTCCTTATTTCCAGGTTGAATCTCTCCTTGACCAGTTTCCATCCATTATTCCTTGTCTGGCCTTCAGGTGCTTTGGAAAATAGCTATTTGGCAGCCCTGCAAATATTGGAACACTGCTATCATGTCTCCCCTGGTCCTTCTCTTCACTAGACTGTTTTGTGTGTATGTATGTGTGTGTGTGCGTGTGTGTGCGTGCTAAAAATCTAAACTGTAGCTTCTTCTAAAATAGATGTACATTTCCCAAGATCAGGCGGCTGGCCACATTTTCCTACTTTAAGAGTGCTGCAGACAAATGCTTCCCACATAATTTCAATCTTTATCTCTTCACCTATTTTTTTTTTCAGTTCAAACCCAGGGAGGGGGAGATCAGCCATCGAGATTCTTCCAACTTGGCCCAGGAAGTGGCTGAAGAATGAACACATTTCAAGGCCTGTGACGCAAGCGTTATAAATAATAATCAAAGCCAGGCAGCTCTACCCTGGATTGTCACAACTGTGAGAACAAGGCTTTGCGATTCTGACACCTGGAGAGTTCCTTTTGACCTGCTGCTTTCATTCCAGCAGACGTTTGCAACCGAGGGGTTGACAAGGATGAAAGTTTGGCTTTCAAGGGAAGGATTGGAGTTCTAGCTTTTCTGGGCAAGCCGAAAATGTCAGGATTTAAGGCAGTGTCATCTGAGGGGGTTTGGAAACAGGATCTGAAAGCATTTCAAGAAACGGCAGGGCCATCCACCACAACCACAACCAGAATACCTACATTTGTGTTCCTATCCTGCCCCAAAAGCCATTTTTAACTGTTCCAAAGAGATACAGATAGATACAGATAATGAGAAGGGCAATAAGAGAAGGGATGCAAAATGAAATTTTGCTTTCTGGTTTCCTGCAAGAAAATAGCGGGAAGAAATGATTCCAAATAAATGGCACAAACGGAAGAGATACCTTGCTGAAAAGATATGAATCAAACTCCTATCTGCCAATGGGATAATTTTGGGCGCACTAAAATAATATTCTAGAACGGCATTACTCTCTGAGAAGTAAACTGGCAAGGGCCAGCTCTCATTGCTGCCTTCCCCCCCGCCCTTGTATTAATCCCAAAGTTGAAGGTAAAAATATATATGACATTTCCCGTGTGTATTTGTTTAATCTTTTGGAAGCTGGCATGATGGAAAGCAAAACAGTAGACTTTAGCACTGGCTTTATTTACACATATGCCTCTGGAAATGACAGAGATTCTTCAGGAAAAGAGAAACAGTGGAGGACTAATCCTTTACTTGGGAGATCTCATTTTTCCAGAATGAGAACCAAGAGTATCCCAGGTTTAGAACAGGGGTTGCCAACCTTTTGGACCTCAGGGACCACCAAACTCCTAATTTTAAATCCCAGGGACCACTAACCGGTTCTGTGGGCATGGCCTAATTTGTGGGTGTCGCTTGGTGGTCATATGACTGGCTGGGCATGGCTTGTATGTAAATATTATAAATGTTTATATAAATATTGAATTTTTTATTTAAAAAAAAGAGCAACTTTTACCCAAAATCAGGCAAAGCAGGCAGGCAGATTGAGTTGCTCACAGAATCACAGATTCATTCAGAGATCTATCTATCTGCTTTCGGCTAGCTCAGTCTGACACATAAAATTTGCTTGCTGTGAGTCTGTACTGAATAACGGAACCTTCAGTCCTAAGGGAGGTTCGGCTGTGCTTAAAAGCAGAGCCGAAGATCTAAAGACTAGCTAGAAAGCAAGAAATCCAACCATTTCCTGCTTCCTAGCTGATCTAAATCTCCTGGCACAGCAGAACAGATGATGGTCAGAAAAAGGAAAAATAGCAATTTGGTAGGCAACTTTTCCAGGTAAGGAGTGAGTGGGCAGGGAGGGTTCCTGCGGGCCATGTGGGCGGCGCAGCCTTGTGTTTCTGCGCAGCCTTGTATTTCTGCGCAGCCTGGATTAATTGCTTTGGGAGTGACATTTCTCTGCGGACCACCAAAATTTTCTCGCGGCCCACCGGTTGGCAACCGCTGGTCTAGAAGAAAGGACAGGGAGCAACCTCATTCGTCTGCTTTCTGGTAATGAAATGTTCTTTGATAAGAAGTGTCCAAGCTTGCTATCATTTCAGAAAGGGCTAGCTTCTTTCTGAGTCCTCAAAATCCTGCTCCAAACAGATTGTCTATTGAACAAAGAACGGCTATAAAATTCCAAGGAGTCAGAATAACAACAGCATTTGAAGGGACCTTGGAGGTCTTCTAGTCCAACCCCTGCTCAGGCAGGAAACCCTATCCCATTTCATACAAAGGGCTATCCATTTGTCTCTTCTTAAAAGCCTCCAATAATGGAGCATTCACAACTTCTGGAGGCAAGTTGTTCCACTGATTAATTGTTCTCACTGTCAGGAAATGTCTCCTTAGTTCTAAGTTCGCTTCTCTCCTTGATTAGTTTCCATCCTTTGCTTCCTTTCCTGACTTCTGATGCTTTGGAGAATAGCTTGACTCCATCTTCTTTGGGGCAACCCCTCAAATAGCAGGAACATGCTATCATGTCACCCCTATTCCTTCTTTTCAAGAGACTAAACATACCTAATTCTTGCAAACATTCTTCGTATGGTTTTAGTCTCCAAATCTTTAATCATCTTAGTTGCTCTAAGTTGTCTAGTTGTCTAAGGCAAAGGTCTTCAAACTTGGCAAGTTTAAGACTTGTGAACTTCAACTCCCAGAATTCCTGAGCTAACATGACTGGAAGAGGAATTCTGGGAGTTGATGTCCACAAGTCTTAAAGCTGCCAAGTTTGAAGACCCCTGTTCTATAGTCTCAATATCTTTCTTGTAATGTGGTGACCAAGAGTGGATGCAGTATGTTTTAGCCTATGGTCTCCTCATCATCTCAGTTGCTTCTACTTTGTAGTTTTATTGAGTCTACCAGATCTAAATCCAAAATTGTTTTTGGTGAGTTTGATCATATAGAAAAGTCCAGAATAGGTGACATAGAAAATTTGGGAAGATTCTATAGATACACTGCTAACCTGTGAAGTTTTCTGATGGTTTTTTTTAATTATAGGATGGATTCTTTAAATTATTGTAAGCCACCCAGAATCACCTATGTGTAGTAAATAAACTAAATAAACCCAGTTTTTTTCAACCTTAGCAACATAAGATATGTGGACTTTAATTCCCAGAGTTCCCCAGCCAGCCCTGTGCTAAGCTATCATTTTTTTAATCTGGCATTTTTATCTTTTCTTTTCTCTGGCTTTAGTTTAAAAAGCAGAACAAAACTTCCAGGGCTGTTCATGTTAAAAACAATACATTATAACAATATCACCCCCATAAGAGAAGAAAAAACACATAACTAACTAAAGAGAAAAACAACAACAAAAATAAACAGAACTAGAGCAGAAAAGACAGCAGAATACTGTATAAACACAGCTAAATCAACAGAGTAGTAAAAACCAACATTTTTAAAAATCCTGCATAAATTAATCTACACTTAAAAGGTAATTATATTATATTTGCTTTAGGGGGATTTCATTTAAAATGAAGCATTTATAAAGTACGATTTAGGCAATGTTTTCAAAGCAGATGGCAAATCCTCATTAAAACGACCATATCAAACAGAAAGGCTCCCCAGAACAATT